CGCATTACTGACATCTAGTTACTTACGATTGCAAAATTCATATGGATATTCATGCGTGGTATAATTTTGAATATTTTATTCTCTATATTAATATTTATTGAGAGAACTTTTGCAATCCACCTGTAACAATTTCACGAGGTTTTGATTAAAAATATTGAAGCAAATATTTAATAAATTTAGGTATTTAATAGTAGCAAAATTTATAAATGATATTAAGAAAAGAGTAAAATTTCCAGTTTATTTTTTTGTGTAGTGAAAATTCTTTACCAAAAATTCATAATTTAGAGCGGAACAAACCTTTACACGTAGATCGCATAATATTTAAAGGAAATTTTTGGGTGAGAATTTTTAAATCGCAACCTTGAGGTCGATCGCGTTGGCATTCATCCTTTCCTCGTCTTGATAAATATTCATCGACCAATGTTTAAAGTTTCGGAATAAAAAAGATACACGCTGCATTTGGCCAGCCTTGAACCTATTTGGTTCTTCGATTGGCATCTGTTAATATTCGATTCGTAGAATTCAGAGAAGGAACGCTGTCCAACTGTGAAAAAAGAAAATGCACAAGATCATTCATCAAAATCATCATAAAGAATCTTTCATCCGGAGATCGCGTGTTATGGTTACTGGCTAAAATGTATAGCTACTAAATAGATAATATAGCATTGATATATCGTATAAAAATACGATAAGAAGTGAGTAACAATTTTTCGGAAAAAGAAATAAGCAAAGAAAATTGAGTAAAAAATATTTGTTCAAATAGTGAAGCATTGTTTTTATATAATTATTATTGTATTATAACCTAAAAACGCTTTTTATACCGAGTATAAAATTTGTTTGTATTAAAATTTTGTAAAACGCGAAGGAAATCAGTGTTTCAAGCCTCTAACCTAAAATTTCAAGAAGATCATAAAATTCTGTTTTAAATTCTCATTAAACTTCTACGTCGCTACTTATTGAAAGAGTTTCTTCGATGAAGGAGAGGAACATGTGCATGATTGAAACGCAGTAAATCTGGCATGCATAAGACGTATACGCACGACGCACTGTGGTTACGTTGTAGACGTAAAATTGCAAGGATCTGCCGTGTCAAATGTCAGCCATAGTTCGCGTGCACTAGGTAGGAAATTTTCCTCGAGAATTGCTCGAAAAAAATATTTCTCGCTGCGATACCGAGAACGTGGCTTCTCCGTCATCGATGAAGATATCGACGGGGAAGCAAATGAACTGGTGACCTTAGAATGCTAATTCATTGCAAATGCGCGTATAAATATCGGCGATTCCCGAGATGCTATTAACCCTTGCCGCTTCTAAGAAAAATCTTTTTCTTTCTTCTCTCTGCCATTTCTTGCTCTAACTAGAATTCAGAATATTTCTTTTTATTACCGCGTATTTTGTTGATAGTTCGTAGAATTTTTTCAACATACTTGATAGAGTGATTTCTTCGAGACAACTTGCACTTTGATTTTATGTTAAAAACGCAATTTTTGGGTTTTCATATTACACTTTAAAGCTGTATTTCCAACGCTGATTATATAGACTTTTGATCAAATATTTCGCAGTTTTATTGTTTTGTTAGGATTTTCTATTCCTATAACGTAGTCATTGTTCCATTTATAATGTTTTACACCATCTGTTTGTCACTCACAACCTTATGCTCTTACATCAAGAATTTTTTTCTAAAAGACATTCTTTGTGGAAGAAGGAAAAAAACCTATGCAAACAATAAAATTGCAACGATCCCTCGCGGCTTGTGGCCGAAGGTTGCCGATATAATCCGTAGAGTGAACGATCTCAAGGTCCTGCGAAAGGTAAAAGACACCCGACCGTGCGGATACGTTTCTGCGAAGATGACGTGCCACGATACGCAAAATTTCCACCGGTGAATTCTTCCCAGCAGTCATCATAAATGATATATCGTAGACGAAAAAAGAATCCAACGTGACTGTAACTTAAATTTCCAAGGAAAACCGCCAGAACCGATTCAAATTATCTCGCCGTTTTATTGGTGACAGCTTTCGATTCTTCCCAAATCACCCGCTGTTATTGTAATTAAGACACAAAATTACGACACGGATATAACTTATCAAATAACGAAACAATGACATTTTTATGATTTGAGAAATTTATACAAATGTGATAAATGAATTGCGAGTATAACTTCTGCAATAAACTTTTTACCTAATACAAACCTAACCTAAACTAAATAATTTTACAGTCACCATTTATGTACATTTGTTTACCGTTTTCCAACTATATTTACAGTTTTCATTAACACTCTTCTTCTTTGTTATAATCGTACGTATACATATTGAATATTTGATTTGTATCAATATATTGCAATGATAATCATGTCAACTGACAGGGGTAAATGTCTTCTGTGAATTTTTCCCATGAAGAAGAAATACAGAGTTTTGCGACTTCAGTTTTGCGCAACGCTTTCGAGCTCCAATCGCCAGTTTATGTAAGACGTGTTTACACGTTACGACTGCGAGTTGTGTATATCTCATGCACTTCGTTTAGATAGATGAAGCTGTATAATCGTACAACTCGTTTTCCACCCGCTCGCAAGGCGGTTGTTTGCGAGTGGCCGGCGTGTCGAGTGTCCTCGCTATCGAGCATCAATGAAAAATCCGCTCTATCGCGCCGGTCACTTTTTCCTTCTTCTATCCCTTATCGGTCGACCTGTTTCGCAATTCACGCGTTATCTGCGCGGTTCCCATGCGTTTTCCTACTATTGCGCACGCACTTCCGTGTAGAAGAGACGTCGACATTGAGCCGTGCTGATGTTGAAAGGTTAGAATGAATAGAGAGCAACTCCACCTCCAGTTGAACATTGTTATCATGGTTTCTGATCATGCTACGGATTTTGGGTCAATTTTCAAGAAATTTTGTTTTCATTTTTCTCTTTTTTTTCTAAGAAATTCCCAGTTTCTTATGAAAATATAAAGAATTTGTTATTAACATTAGTAACTCGTTATTTCACTTTTATATTCAATGTTTGTTTTCATGAAGAACTAGAAACTGTTTTTAAAAAAGGAAAATATGATACGGGATAAGAATCCTCGTATTTGCCACTGAAAAATTATATTTTAGTGATATGAAACAATTTTTGTTACATGAAAATTATACTTTCATATTTACAAATTTTTTCGAATAATCATTATCTATATCTATACTATACTTTTCATTATTTAGTTAATTACTTATACTTATTTTTATAGTAAAAGAAAAAGAAGTAGCTACATAGAAAATTTTAAGCACATCTTTTCAAGTCGTTCTAATACCAGGATAAATTCTAAGATAAAGGACTAACAGATCCTGGATTAATGATGAAAAAGACATACATGATGAGTATCACGATCTCCGCATTCAATCTTGCACGTGTCGACTTTATCGTACATATGTACGTGATAAAGTTACGGATAAATACTTTCGGACTTCCAAGTGCATCTCCACTGCAATATGATTTTTATCTTTCCTATTATCACAATTCATTTCGTTCCTGTTTACCTTTCATTTGTAAGTATTTTACTTTTCTTTTAACAATTCTTCAATTTTTTTATTTTGGAATATGTAAATGTAGGAGATACGATGCACTATTAATGGCACAATCAAAAGAGCATGATTTTCATAATAATTACGTGATTTCGTCATAAAATACGTAAAAAAAGGTTTATAAAAAATTTTTTATAAACAAGATGTTGTTTCTTCTTCTTTATGAGATGAATGAGTTGTAAAGTTTCATGTTTACAAACAGTATTCAAGTTTTTAAAACTTTTCGTTCTAAGTTTCAATTATTGCGACCATTTGAACTTGCAAATGTTAAACTTCTAATTTTTGAACTCTAATTGGTACTGTAATGTTATAAAGCTAAAAATAAAGTTGATGCTCGTGTCACATGTTTCTCACATCTTCAACAGAAGATGAATTATTTATTTCTTTTGTGCAACATTTGGATTACTCGTTGTTCGGTATCTTACAACGCCATTTTATCCAATATCTGCTTGTTTCCAATCACGTTTCGAAGTCAAGGTGTACATATCATGCAGTGTTCTACGTTTTGCATCTCGTTCAATTTTCATGGGTTCACCTAAACACGTCATTCTCTCAATAGATCGTTACCACACAAAGAACAATTTACAAGTGTATAATTTGTTTACTTTCTTGAAAACTACTAAAATAAAAAAATCAATTATAATCTTTTTTGCATAATTATATACAGCCATACGTATATATCTTTCTCTTTATAATAATAAAAAAGATACCAATAAAAATGAATTCAGCTCAACTTCGGTTGCAAGAGAAAAAGAAAAATTTTTTTTTTTACTTCCAAATGCGGTGCGGTTGTTATCATCGCGAAAATTGAGGACAGAAGAACTCCTTGACGCCTTGCTGTTTGCGAAGCTACGTTAACCGGTTCCAGTGAGTTTGTTATAAAGCACGAACGATTATTAAATGCCAAAGCAGGCGACACGTGTTTGCAAATTCCACCTAAAGTGTCCAACTTTGTCTGAAATATCGAGTCAGATTGCGTTTAGCTTAAATATTCCAACTGTTCAATCGATAAAATAGTTTTTTTGGGTTCTTTAAGAAACACCAAGGTATTAATCAAGTATTCAATTTTTCGTTTAATGTCCATCTGTCGCAGAATTAAGAACTTACAAAAATTAATTAATCCTCATGAAAGTCCATTTTAATTGTAGGAAATATAGATATTATATTAATTAAAAATACGATAAAATAAAAAAAGTAGACTATTATACTTGAAATGCGATAATCCACTTGTAGAGATTAACCTTTAGATTTGCTTTATGACTCGTTTGTTCGAATTTTTAGTTAAATAATTATGTTACGTAGACTACAGGTAACAACGAATAAACGAATAATTGAAGAAATTAAATGAATGACGTATGAGAAAAACAAAAATGGAGGAAAAGAAAATATGAATAAAGAATAGATTACAGAGAAAAGTGCAAAGACCTTCCTTTGAATTCCAGTGTACGACGCGTCCGTGAAAATTCCACCAGGCGTAATCACAGGCAATTACCAGCAGCTAGGCAATTACGACGAGTGTCTGCAAGTGAAAAGCGGGCATGGATTCACCGGAAAGGCTTGCAGTGCCACGGTAAATTTCGAAATTGCAGAGGACAACGGTAAACCACGCCAACCTGATATGGGTGATCTGCTTCTGAATATAGCCATCGCTTCGGTGAGTAAACTCGATCTTGTTCAATATTCTCCGAACCATTTTCATCTTCCAATCCATTCCCTTAGTCTGCTGATTCCCGAAGACGGAAATTTCTTATCCAGATGGATAAAATATAGAGATAAATTGTTGCATTCTTTCATTCAAATATACATACCTCTGCTTATTATTGCGATTCTTTATAAAAATAATATATTTTAAAGAATATATACACTGTATTCGATAGAATGTTGCGAATTATTTATTGCCCAACTGTTTATGTCATTGAAGAGTGTTAGTTGAAACGTGTCACAAATGATAGACATAAATTTGATAGCGTCGGTTTTCGCTACAGCCCCACGGAAAATGGCTAGTTATAAGTAATTATAACTATGGATATAACTTTTGAAGAAAAGAGATGTTCCCTGTGTTTAAACATCTTTAAGCCTAAAGAAACAGATGATAATGTACAATTAATAAATAAAGATAATAATATAATACTAATTGATTTATCAATCTGGAGATGAAGGAATTACGCAAATACATTGAATTATAATATTATTTGTTCTTACCACGAGATATAGTACCTAATGAACATATATTACGTCAAGAGTTATGTGTACTATGTTCAATTAATCATCACGATTAAAGATACTATTCATTTACTTTGCTCTGTTGGTATGTTTATTCTGTAGCTAATTATAAAAGACTGGAAAAGCTCGTTAGAAGAAACAGATTATTTACAATTTATAAAAATGAAATTTATAAAAATTAGTTATTTATCGTTTTCCTAGATCAAGGGTTAAAAAGTTAAAATTTAAATTGTAAAAATTGAGCTTCGGGGTTTTCAATTTATGCAATTTATTATTTCTCAATTTTGTGTATCATTAACAATAAGCATCTAAATACAGGTCATCAATGTAAAAATTTGTATAAATGTACAATTAAAATAATTGGAATTTACTGTTATACATTTTACAAGTTCTCAAGCAATTTATGACCAAGGTTTCGCAATTACATTACGTTTCTTAAATTACTTCAAAAAATGTTATGCAACTCACAGTAACATGAAAGACATCGAATCGAAACTTCTGTTCACGAAATTCACTTCAACAGATACACTCCATGTTGGTAAAAAATAAATGACTATTTAGCCTTCGAATTTTTAAATCACTATAATTTACGTATGTTTCATTTCTTATTTATTGATTACAAAGCATTCTTCATAAAGCATTTACTTTTGACAAAAAAAAATTTTCTTTTCTTAATTGATAAATTTTAAAAGATCGTAAATTATCTAGCAAATTATCTAAGTATTTAAGACAAGCAAAACGAGTTTTCAGTGGAAATTAAAATAAAATTTTTTCGGTAATGTATTGACTGGGAGCTTATTTATCGACCTTTCTGCCATTAACATCAATATCGACTCAGTATTAACAATGTATCCATACTAAAATTAATGGATCAATAATATATTAAAAAAACATACGTGTTATTATTATATGTTAAGAAGTATATTTATTCTTTACCAGTAAATTTTATTTTATACCACTCTTTAACCCGGATTGGTTTAACAGCTTATCGGTCATTGTTCGGGTATATTATCATCATACGATCTTATTAATCATTATCGTTATCAAACCATTCGCCGTATATCGCATTGAGATTACTGATCTTTCAGTTAGTAGCGTTATTATCTCCGAGATTTAATGGATTCGTCAGGTTCATCAATCAAATTCGATTGGTTTAAATTTTCCTCCAATCACGAAGTTACCCAATTACTCGTTTTACATTTCGTACCTTAAAAAGTCAAAAGCAACGAACAAAAATAAACGAGAAATTATTTCTAGTATTCTTATTATATATAAATATACACAATGCAAATGTATTTTTAGGTTATGCAACTTGCCTGCTTTAAATGTTATTTCAGTCGAACGTAATTTCGTTATATCTCCATACGTGTTCTAAATTTCAGAAATAAACATTTGGACGCTTATTAAGTATGTACTTCGTACCCAAAAATTTCATAAAAATTAGCAACTGTCACTCGCAGAGTGTTCCGTGTATATATTCCACCTCCGGTTAGAATCAAACCAAATGCCCAGAGTTGCGCAACGTAGCTATGCGCAGCTTTGTATGATAGTTTGTATAAACTTGCGTCAGATGGAGCACAGTCGATGAATATCGATATATCAAACTGCACATGCGTTCGATTCATGGATACTGTGTTACCGATTTATTTCCCGCGCTGTGGGACATTTATATTTATGAACGAAACTTCTGTACGGAGCTTAGAAGTTTTTATACGGTTTTATATGATTTTATACGCAACAATTATGTGGTACCACGACACGAAACGGAATATTCGATCTAATTGGTCCCTGCTTTATCTGAATGGTATTATTTTGTTATATACGTAGACGATGGTTTAATTATGAATAATTTTCGACGTTTTCATTATAGGGGCACACAAAATGGAAGGCTGGTCGTTCGGTGAACTACGAATGGATGTGGTGTATTCCATCGAGCTGCAACGATACGGAAATCCAGGAGGCGCTTGAGCTCGGCCTCGACCCTCTGAAGGTGGAGGATCGCGTGGATATGGTGATAAACGTATCGTGCCGGACCGCAGAAACGGATCGGCTCGTCTTCGACGTAACTGATTGGGTTTACATGTAGGTAGATCGCGTTATCGTGTTCCTATGTATGCGGTTTTCGCAGTAACGCAAGACCAATGGCGTCGCTGATCGCCCCGAGTTTCGAGGACAAGGCTAAACGTAGTCTTGTCAATTATTCGAATTTTTATCTAATAATATTTATCTTTTATCTAATTCTAATTTTTATTCTATACGTGAAAATATCGTATCTTTTTACATTCACGATAGTGGGTGAAAATGTGCTTCATTGTAAATCTCGATAGAAATTTTACATCTGATAGGCATATTTATATTTTTGAAAAGAAGCTCTAATCTTTCCTTTTACAATATTCTTCTTAAAAAAGGAGGAAAAAAATAAGGATATTTATTACTGTTCTAATTACCGTCATATATTCCTAATAATTATTATAATTGTAACAACAAAAATGATAATAATAATAATACTAAAAGGGTAAAAGATTAGTGAAAACATAAATTAATTAGTATAATAATTAATTAGAGATTATTATTATTATTAATATTAATATTGTCATTATTGTTATTGTTTATTTTAGAGCTTAAAACTAATGTAATTACTATTACAAAAAACAAATGACGTTTTTCCCATATATGTTTACGTGTTCTATACCTTGTACGTTAATTTAGGTTACATGAAATTTCAGATCGATTCTAGCGATATTTGTGGTAATTATAATTGCCAGTACGAGTTACGACATCGCTAAACAAGGCCATCTGAGTACGTTGAACCGAAAAGGTGAGTTGTTCGTTCTGTTACGTAAATGAAAATTCCCTGCAAATCCATCGTCCGATCGCTTTATCTTGTTTCCATTGCAATTTCTGTAAAAAGAACTCAGGAAAAGATCGGATCGCGAGATTACATCGCTTATGACCGATAAAGATTCTTGGCCGTAAGATAAGGATCAGTGTTAAGGACACTTTGTTTGTCTTGCATAAGCGTTTTATCGACACTTGCGCCGATTAACAACTCTTGACTACGATTTCCGATATTTTTCTAATCTCGTAGCATTTCGTAGCAATTTTCGAGTTTCCAATTTTTTATTTGCCGAGACTTATAAAAATCGTAGAGTTTCGATAGGTTTCTATTGGTTAAGTAAAAGAATAATGTTGAATGAAAGCTTTAGATTTCAATTAATAATCAATTCCATGAACAATCTTTTTCGTGTTCATGTTACATCTACTCTCGCTGTTATCATAGTTGCAAATAATATTCTTATGTTTGTCCAGATAGAAAACATCTTCTTTTGACTTCGTTCTCCGTCTATACGAATGGAAAAAATTTGTTAAGGACTGACAGACACCGTGAATCGATTAAATGCCTTGATGGATTACGTTATATTAGTATTTGTTGGATTATATATGGACATACTCATTACACCGAGATGGTTGGAGTTAAAATGAACTTGAGTGATATTCCACAGGTAAAACGATCTGAATATTTTATTTACTTTGCTTGGTATATTAGTTTATCGATATCTAAATTAAAAAACTAATATTAAACGTCGAATTGATATCGTTAATACTTATAATACATAGTTTTATGGTATAAGTGCGTGTAGTTTAATGAAAAATATCGTATAAGAGAATCTACTTAGACAAATTGCAAGTTTTATTACTGCTAAAGAAAAAATAAAGAAATTCTGCAATTTGCAAAATTTGACGAAAATCTTTTATTTTTCAAGATGCATATAAATTGGGCTAACATGTTTGTACTCAATGCAAATATTATCACCGATACGTTCTTTCTCATAAGCGGTGTTCTGATGGCATACACAGCTCTAATAAAGAACGAGAAGAGTTCAAGAGGCCATTTTGATGTGGTTGGTCTCTATCTTCATCGTTATTTGAGATTAACCCCAGCATACGCCATGATGATTGGATTTTACGCTACTTTGCTTTACAAAGTTAGCTCAGGTCCACATTGGGATCAATGGGTAGGCGCCAATAGAGATTACTGCCGAGAAAACTGGTGGATCAACCTACTTTACTTGAATAATTATATCCATTTACCCAGAATTGTAAGTACCTATACCTGTATTATTCCGATATCGTAATTACTATGCGTGCATTGTTCAACGAAACGAACAATAGTTGTTCATAGGAGAAATTTTTGCATAGTGCATGAAGTGCATACTACAGTGTACTTTCGAGGGACTGATCCAGTGTCTGGGACTGATTGATTTTTTGTCGAAATATGTTGTTTAATAGTGAAACATTGAAAACGAGAACGTAAAATGGATATGATATTATTGAAATAGATACGAATGTTCTATTTACTGAGTGTACAGGATATATCGTTGAGTGAAGAATGGTAGGAGACAACGATAAAGAATCTTGTTCTGTCTAATGTATGTCCGACCTCGTTTTAGTTCTTGGTAATAAAATTTTAACTCGGAAGGTTTTGAACGTCCATCAATGAACGATCTGACGTATTCTATGTCTGTAGAGATTTTTCATTCTTTCTAGAACCATTTTAGGAGTAACTAACTTATCAACTGTAACAATAAAAACTTTGAATTAAAGAGATACTAGCAAAATGAAGATAGAACAATATATTTTTTATATTACTCACTGTGCCATCTACTATGTCACAAATATTAAGAAAATCTTTTGCAAATAAGTGATGAATGGCGGGTTGCTACTCACAAGGCGCTCAAATTCTTCTATTTTTTAATTTTCTTATTAAGAATTAAAATAAGATTGGACATAAGTTTACTGTACAAAAATTTTCTATTTTCTTTTTGTCATACTTTACCATTTTCTGTTTATTCTGTAATTTAAAAATTTTCTTTACACGATATGGTCGATTTGAACGTAATTTCTTTGAAATTGGGAATGAATTATTCACATAAATTACTGATTAAGCAGCTTATTTTGTATTTTAAATTCGCAGTTTGGAAAGAAAGTATTAATCTTCGTTATTTTATTTTCGAATGGGCAATTTAAGGGAACTGCTGTCATAAAACCAAATAGAATCGAATTTCGTTTATTTGCTCAAAATACTTCCATTTAGTGAAATGAAGAACGGCTATATATCGATACTAAACAACAAATTTCAAAGAAAATTCTATCTATTTTAGATACATAGTTCATGTTTCTTACTGACCTCAATTTTTAATCCCTTTGTTCTCTCGAAGCTCTAATGTTCTTAACTTCATTTACAAATATGTAAATGTCTCTGCCTGTTGTCTGTCATAGCTTTCTGTGTTGCATGATGAATAATTATATATTTCGAACGAAGCATTTCGTTGTATCACATATTTTCATATTCGATCAAATTAATTATTTAAAAATAATTAATCAAAATTTAATAAATTTTTCTAGTAATTATTCCTGAAAAAAAATGTATAGATCAGAAATTTCATGTCGTTTTTCCACATTAATTTTATCGAGTCATTTAGAATGAAGAGAAAGGAAAAAAAGAAACAATTAATATCAAATGATGCACGCTAGAAAGATCTTTGGAAACAGCTTGTTGAATAATTGTTTATTTCTTACTTCTGTTTTTAGTGCATGTCTCAGTCTTGGTATCTGGCAACCGATATGCAACTCGTCTGGCTGTCGCCGATTTTCTTGTACCCTATGCTCAAGTTCACGCGAGAAATCTTCTTCTGGCTCATTTTCGTGTTAGGTCTAATTGCCTCCGTTCTAATACCATTCTTAATAACATTCAGTCTCAGGCTCGAAGGAACTATGCTCTATTACAAGGAGTGAGTGTAGAAATTTACTTCTTTCACTTTCTTCCTATTTTCTACCCGGTGTTCACGAAAACGCTGCGTCAAAATTTCAGGGGAGATAATGCTCGTTAAAGTAAAGAAAAAATGATCAATTCACGTAGTAGTTATTTATTTTCAAGTTATAAGATGTCGAATTTCAAATAGCTTCCTTACCATTGATAATTAATTGATATTTATTAACGTTAATGCACAATTAATCTGTTACCTTGATTAATTAATATCTAATTATCGAATTTTTGATTATTTAATATTTTTTTATCTATTTTAACGAGTACTACATGCTCTTACAATTTGGCGCAATCTTTTTTTTTAATTTCTGTATTTCTCTTTTCTTCCCATCTTTCCATGACGCCGCGCTATACCGTCTGATTTATTTCACACGCGACTACTTTTTACTGCTTCGTTTCTTCGGTGACGCTTCTTATTTTAAATTTAAAAAGACCCTCGGATATTTAACATTTATTTCCGATACTTCGCTATTAAAAATATCGTTGGAGAAACATTTTAACAGATTATTACTACGTTTTATATTTATAAAACGGATTTTGATATTGAAATTAGTATAGCGAAGAATGTAAAGAACTCGTGTCTATACTGACAAAATTATAGCAGTGTCTACCATAATACTACAACTACTATATATATACTAGGCTTAACTAGTTTAGAAATCTTTTGGGTCCAAATATGCGTCATCAAAATATTTTTATATTCTTGAGTAGTGTTTCTATTAAAATAAACGAATGTTTTTCTATTATATTTCGTTTAAATATTTTTTTAAAAATGAATATTAATAAATTTATTTCTAAATATTTGTAAAACTTGTTTATATAAATTATAAAAGTTTCCATAATAACGATTAAAAAGTGATACATGATATAAAATCATTTTACTGAAATTAAGGATGAAATTAATGAAACGGATTGTATATTTCGTTTACTAATTTTTTTGTTCTTTTTGTTGCTAGTAACACGGACGTGGCCAACGTTTACATACACATTTACACAAGGGTTTACAGCAGATACGGGTCTTACATTATTGGTTTAGCTCTTGGTTATTTTTTGTACAAGAACCGGTCAAGGGTTTTAAAAATTCGTCGTGTAAGTATATTCAATTTGATACACGATTTGTATCATTCGTCAAATTTGTTTTTGGAAATTTGTTAGGCTTGGGTGTTATTCGAACTCTATACTTGACTAAAATTTAACTTAAAAATTGCAATAGTAAAATAATTTGTACTGTACTGTTGACATATTAATTATATCTACACAATGATACGTCACACGATATATTACTATACAATATACAAACATGAAGATAATTTTGTGGATTTACTAAAAGTTTAAACTTGTATTTGTTTATTTATAACATTTCTTGCATATTCTTTTGCTTATTTAAACACTAATTCATCTTCTGTGCTTAAATACCTCTTCCTCAAATTATGTTCCTTTTAAAAATTTTCACCAACTTATGGGGTACAATTTAAATCTCGTTTTCTTCATTTAGAAATGAAAGAAGAAGACTATTCTACTGAAACGAAGACAAAGTGATTGCGACATACGAAATGTGTGTTCATCAGAGAAAGTAGCAAACTTCGATTCGACTTTTTTTTTCGTAGCAAAATTTGTTACTAATTGAACCGATGATTTTGTTTAGATATACTTGGTGTTGGGATGGCTGGTAGCTGCAGTTTCCGGTATTTTCATATTCGTCTGTCCTCGATGGATGTACTTTGACGATTATTCTTATGACAAGCTTGAAGCAAGCTTTTACGCAGGCTTCCACAGGCAAATTTTTGCCCTCTCAGTTTCCTGGCTTATCTTCTGTTGCGTTCATGGCTACGGTGGTAAGGTTTATTCTTTATGTTTCCTTATTGCAACGCAACTGTGTGTATATAATATCACTGAATTAATTCCATACCGATTAAACTCGTGATAATAAAGATTCTATGCAAAATATCATGTAAAACGCAAAGTAATATAAGCGAAATTATTCTGACAGATCGACAGTTTTTGATCACTAATATACCGACATTTTAGTTCGTGTTACATTCTTTGCTATTTTCCAAAAATCCAATATTATTTTATGATACACGAATTATTAGAGGAGTTAAGAAATGGTTTTTACGTATTTATTTTGTCTATTTTGATAGATTAGTTACTAATTACCGACATAAGATAAAAGTTATGAACTGTCGGATGACTATCACAGTAACTTCATGTGTAACCTTTGCTAAATTTGTATTAATATAGATTGATTCAATATCGTATATATTTAATAATAAATTTAATAATATGCAAAACTATTCAAAGTTTAATTATTACAAATAATTAAGTAAAACAGAACTTGGGTTACAAAACTTTTAATTTTTAATTTTTAATTAAAAATTATATTTATTAATAGAAAAATAAATATGTTTGGGTTATTAAATTTCCAACAATACCTTTTTTCGTTTAAGGTTTCGTGAGTCAGTTTCTCTCCTGGAAAGGCTGGGTACCTTTCAGTAAGTTGACCTATAGCGCTTATTTGTGCCATTACGTGTTTCTATTGACAGAAGCTGGTTCAGTTCGAACTACTGGCATAATCTCAAGCATGGCAATTGTAAGTACATTTACATATACATAATACGTATTTTCTATACAGGGTGTCCCAGTAACGGTTCAAATGAAAAAATTCTATTCTGTATTTTCGATTTGTTTTTCTAAGGTTCGAGTTCAAATTCACGTTTCAAATAAATTTCAAATTGAAAGAATTTAAGCCCAATCGTGGTTATATCGACTAACTATTACAAATCACTTTGTGTATAATTAATTGATCCTTCACCGAATCTACAGCTTCGCAGCTTCTTCAGCAATCTATGCCTCACGATGCTCCTCTCTGCGCTCTGGACATTATGCTTCGAAATGCCCTTTATGACGCTGGATCGCGCCTTTGTCTCTCAGCGCAAGGGCCAATCGAAACTGTCATCGAAACCAAACCAAGGAAAAATATTTGGTTCCGTTGACTCCAGCAAAGAAATTTATCGGTCAACGGAAGAATCCACGGCTACGCTGTCACAGAGCTGTGAAAATACGTTCAACCGAAAGTGTAGCAAAGACAACATGTACGATGTAGATTTAAAATCCGAAGACAGAGACGACAAGTGTCCGTTCATCTTTGTAATCGGGTCCAACAGCAACGATTCGTGGGTACAGGGGAGGAACATTCATCAAAACAGCGGCTTTGATCAAGATTCCGACGAGCTATTTAAGTCGAGAACAGAGAACAGAATTGATCGCGTGAACAAATCGATCGTAAATGCGAATTTGACGAGGAAAGAAGGATCTAGGAATTTGGACCAGGTGAACGGTAGTTAATCAACAAATTCATCAATGCAACATTCGATCAGCTTGCGGGTCAAGCGTTTGTTTGTACGCAGATAGAAGCGAGGTCAGATAATGACAGTATGAATTAAGCGGAATGACAATTCGTTCCGGAGACGTATGTTTTGAGATAAACATTTATCGATGGCCTTGTCGCGGTATTTCTGAGAGTATTCGCCTGATACAAATTGCCTAACGGGTATTTTCTTTATTTTATTGTTGTTCAGGGATGTCTAATTAACTGTATAGAATATGGCCAAGTGTTTGGATGTGATCAAGTAAATAGTGATTCCTTATAAGATAGTGAATTAAGAGGATCTTTTGGTCTAATGGGGTGTTATTATTAAGATATTTAATAGGCTTTCGAGAATTATTTAACGTGTTCTGTAATATTAGGATTAAAGCTACATTTTGGTATAACTTGATGCCACGTATCAGTTTTATTTCAATATTTCTCTTTTATAATGGTTTAAGTTTGTTAAAAGGCTTCTTATACTTGCCAAGTTCCATATAGGTTGATTCATTATCGTGAGAAATTTTAGGACCAATAGGAAAAAAGTTTTACCGAATATTAAAATTAAATGTAAAATATACAAACATACTTCTTTTTAAATTTTATGATATCAGAGCTCTCGATTATTGTTTTAATTATTATTTGAGTTGGGTAATTCAAAAATTAGATTTTCCCGAGAAAATGTATTGTGCAAAAGAGAACATCCCTAGAAAGACAATTTTCGAATTTTTGTTATCCGAAGAGTTTGGCATTCTGTAATTATATTATATATTTGATGCTACTCTGTATTGTCAGATCCAGTTTGAAGTGCGTGTAATAAACCGATGTTGATCCATCGGGGTGGAAATAATTTAATACGAACACGTAGAATTTAGTTAGGAAATAAAGGTACAAATTAGCTGTGAGAAATCAATTATTAAGTATAATTAAGAGATGTATATCTCAATGATCAAGTTAGAAGCGGGAAAATGTAGAACCGGTGAAATTAAAAAATACAATATAGTTGTCTTTCATTATAGTTCATAGTTTAAATCGACAACGGCCAATATAACAAATCCAATCTTTTATTGAAATTAAAAATCTTTGGATTCCAAATTTTTTATATTTATTAACATTTGAAATTGAATATTTTCTTTTTTAAACCTTTGAAACTCTAAAAGTTGAAATTTATTGTGTCGAAATATGAAATTTTTTCAATATAAATTAAATAAATTATTCAACAAAAGTATATTAAATTTAAAATCCATCTAACTTAGTACAATACTTGGGTAAGTATACTAATAACATAGAGTTGAGAATTTTACACAGTAACAAACATGGTCTTTTATATGGTTGTTGTTAATTCAGGATATTGAAGTTTAACAAATTCGATTAATCTGTTATTCGATATTTATAAAATAAATGTTATTTAAGCTAGGTACAATATACACTTATTTTTCCAATTTTACGAATTAATTTAGTCAATAAAATTAGCGAATAAAATACAAAGTACAGTATTATGTGTAATGATAAATCTTCTAAGTATAGCGTACATAAAAATTGATGCCAGAAATATAAAGAAGAAATCAACTCGTTAGATCGTATCTATTTTGTTGAGATATGTTTTTCTCTACGCTTAATTTGTTTATATGTTAAGTATACAATAATTAAGAACTAGTAACAGATATTTTTAACGACGTTACTGTTATACGAATATTTTGTACAAACATAAATATTTTATAACGTATTTGGGTTAATCAAAAGTTCTCTTTATCTTGGACATCGGTGTATTATGTTTATAGCGAAAAAAAAATTAATTATTTAATACCTAATATAATTATTCTTTTACTTTTCCCGTACGATATTTCGTGCATCCATAAATCCTTCGAATCCACGATATCCTGTGCAAACATGAGAATAAAGATCGCCTAAAAACGAGTATAATAGTAAGAAACGTTATCATTTTATGTATCCGAATTTTTACTTGTTAGAGTAAATTTACTCTGATCTACGATGGTAAAATGATAAAATAAGAGGAAAAGGGGTCAGGGTAATTTCTAGTTACTGCAACATTAGCTTCAGCTCGTGTCACTGTTTACTTAGGCCGGTGTTTTTATCTTGGCCGACCTTTCTATGCGGATACACAAGTACTTGTTTTTCTGTCACGATCTGAAAGCAGCACCGAGTAGCCGAGAAGAGAGTGAACTGCTTATTTTGTCCATGGAAGAAATCGATACGATACGATCGAGAGAATGAATCCTTTCGAGAAATATAGTTTCTTCAAACCCTATGCTATACTATGCTAAATCTGAGAATTTTTCGTCAGTGAGACATGTCCAACGCGGTAAAACACCTATTGACTAATGTACCATAAATTATCCCAATAGAGTAACTAAGATAATAAGAATAAAATATAATAAACGATAAAAAGGAATAATAATGTCATTTTACCTGCACGAATATTGATTCCTGATTATCGTGACAGTGTACACTCTCTTATCTTCTTTTACATGTTATGAACGTATGTCATATACGTATTTAGAAGACATGGAAGGAGGATCCTTTCTATTTTTGTAACGAATTGGAAACAAAAATGAACTGTAGGGAGATAAAATAAGAGGATTTATACGAACTGTTAGGCACATTGGCGAACCAATGATTGATATGTGGGAATTTGATGACATCATTAACAGAGGCGGCTTCAAGGGTTGCAAGTGCAGTTGCAACACGTGCTTAAGGCGCCCTTGGGACGTTCGCCCTTCCGTGGGAAAATGGACCCCGTATTTTCACGAATACTTTGGTCAAGTAGTTAAAAAGGGACCTGCGTGCTTTCTAAACGATTAACAACTTTGGCAAGCAATTAAAGAAGCTTCACAACTCTTATGGCTCCCAGAAAAAGTCCATGGTTCCTAGAATTCCTTTTCTCAGGAACACGCGGTGCTCTAAATAATTAAAAGAGGAAAAAATTTAAAAGAAAGAAGAAATTTTACAGAAATTAAACGGATACGCAAATGGTACTAATTTCAAACATTCTTTTTTGCCTTATAATAATTTAATTATATATTAACCAATTCTCAGCCAAGCCTAAATTATATGAAGTTATTCCTATCGCCAACAACAATAACGTATGGTTTGAACAATGAAAAAAATTCGAAAAGAGACTCGATATTACTGATATATCATTCTCTTGAAATAATAATATATGTCATTTTCAAATAATATCATTTTCTTTAAATAATAATTAAAGTAAAATTTTTGTAATAAATTTTATCTCTAGTAATCTTTCAAGTTTTTGTATATTTATGTTTGTGGCCACAAAAGATTTACAAATTCAAAAGGCTGTGTGTGTGTTATAATGTATATGTATTCGTGCTGGCAATGCATAACACCCTGTCAACCACGAGTATACTCGTGCTTGGCAGCGAATGAGAATTACCAAAAAATGACCACAGTTTTGATATAATATAATACGAATAGCAGTGTCTGTAGTCTGTAATTCTATGATCCTATCATACCGGCTGTTAATGTATTAAAATCCTTTGTCAATTATCTAACGCACCCTGTCAACGATGAAGTCATCTCCAATCACTTCTGATCACTGGTATCGCCATCATCTGAAAATGAATGCATTTGGTTATTGCGGAGGAGTGTATGGCAGGTCGTGATTGCATAAATTGGGGTTAGGTCTTGAAAGTCAGTGAGAATAGATGGCACCCCATGGCGAGGAACACACCGAGCGGATCTCAGTGCCAGATCGTCATAGTTGTGTGGTCGACATCTGCGAGCCCACCGTTTTTCCGCAATGAACACAGGCAACGGAGAAACATTTGTCCCCTTTATTCTTCTGGCGAACGTTATTTATGTGTCTGACAATGGCTTCCATGTTCGTTTTTTTCCACGCTTTATTAGCATGCACAATGAACTTACGGGAAAAGAAAGGAGCTCTGAAACATACAGATATTCCATTTATTGAGAATTTTCGGATGAGCTGATGTGGAAAGCGGAGTTTCTATCATTTTGCAATGGTACGAAAACAGATGCACAGGGGAGTTTTATTTTGGGGTTATAAGCTGTATTTATGCATATATTATGTCATTCGTATCTAGCTAACATATTTAATATGGCAATCAACGTGGATATTTAAAATTTTATTAAATGACGACTGATGGTCGCCTCTCGAGTACAAAGGGTCAATAAGTTCTGATCTTTAAACAGCGTTTATTTCGAATAATAATTCTTTTTGCGTTCGCCTGTAATGACTGTCCAATGACATTTACGAAACTAAATTGAGATTATGTTACTCTCCTACTATATTTTTCGACGTAAAGTACTCATAAACTATACTTAATTTGCAAAATTCTTTGCAGCTAAGAAACTCCACTTCAAGCTAAGAAGCTGTAGTATACAACCGAGTATCCGGTTTTGTGTTTTGAGTTTCAAGGACGTGTCGGATCCCAGACAAGTTCTCCAGTTTCACGGACAGCGATCCGTGTGTCTGTGCCTTTTTCTGCGATATCGACAGGGATTCTGCGATGAGACTGGCGCCGACCTCCCTCGACGAACCAAGGAAACTGAAAGAAATGGGAAGAAAATGTGTCTTCTTCAAAGGACTCCTTAACCTGTGTCACGCGCCGCCGAGGAAGACAACCGACGCAATAAAACGTAACCCGAAACCGGAGGCACACAATACTATGGTCACATCTGTGACCTACGAGGTTACAATACCTCCGAGATCCGTTCTGTTTTCGTAATCCACCGTCTAGCTTTCCGGGTAAGAAGGAAACTCGGCTTAATCTGGCATGCACGTGGATCCTGCGTTTAAGGTATTTTAGGGGAAATTTGCGAGCAATAAATGTATAACAGCGGAGAACGTCCTGAATGTATGGAATTTCTATAAGATTGCAGTAGCGATATCCGTATATCCAATATTTTACCCTAAACTCTCGATTTTTCTAATTTTCCTAATTTTCGTCTAACATAGAACCTGTTTATTTGTACGAAATTCATTTATGGCAATTGTTGTTCGTTTGTAATGAATTATGTATTTAATACAGGTTCAGGAGTAATTATAACTTACTTCAAATTAGCTTAGGGAATTTTCTGTTTATAAAAGATGGTTGTGTAACTAGAATTTAGCAAGTACTCAACAAGTACTCAGCAAGTACTTAGTATTACTCTACTAAGCAGAATAATATTTGAACGAGTCAAAATAAATAAATTATAAAGTACAAAAAGAAATTGTGAGAATAGTAGGAGAGATACGAAAGAATAAGGAAGGGATAATGTATGAATAGATTGGTGGAATATATTATTACCGAATTCATCTTGAAAAAT